CCCAGCCCCCGCGGCCCTGGGAGAGGTCCCCCACTCCCTTCGGGCATGCTGTCCTTGGTCGCACTGTGCGAGATGCTGCTCGTGCCCCAGGACCCCCGTCGGCGCCCCCACCCCCAGCCCGGTCCCGAGCAGCTGCGTGCGGAAGGAAGTTCTGAGCGGGGGCCCCCGGAGCCAGCAGGGGGCCCCTTGGTCTCCAGGCCTGCAGGCGGGCACCGCTCCATCCCGGTGGGGGCTGCCCGCTGCCGGTGGGTCCCCAGCGAAGGAACCGCAGTGGCCCTCGGTGCACATGTGGGGGACTGGGAAGGGAGCCAGGGCGTCGGGTGCATTTACCCCATGGGGATCCTGGTGCACTCCTCGCCTCGGGGAGTTGGCCACCGCTGTTCCCTCTGCCCGGAGGCGCCCTCCTGTTCTTCCCTCCTGTTCTTCCAGCTGGTAAGGTGGGCGGCACGGCTCTGCTCCTCGCCGTGGGCGGACCTCAAGCTGCAAATTTGAAGGCAGCTGTGTGCAAACATACAGGATGTCGCGAAGAAGCCTAGCAGGGGCAAGCCCAGTGATACATAAAGATGCTGCTTCTATAAAACTTGAAAGCTGGTAAAACTGTAACGCTTCATGACGCTTACGGGGATCGCAAGAACACGGCGACCGCAGGCGCGGAGCGGTCCCCGAGGAGAGCTCTGTGGCGGGCAGGGCCTGGCCGGGGCTGGTGGCCCTGCTGCTCCTTCAGCTCTTCCCACTTGTTCGCGGTACTTCGCTGAATGCATCACGCAGCTCCCCCCAAACACCACGGCCTGGGGATCACAAGTCGCAGGATCTACCCACTGGGCAGCCAGCCCCCGGCGGCGTATTTATTTTAAAGGGCTGCTAGACGCTGTCTGCCAGTAGTTTATTTCAGGGGTTCATATCCATATTCAGAACCAAAACTCCCTTGCAGTTGGCGTGTCTCTCCCATTTTTGTGAGGTTTTATCAGTTTTCATACTCATTTCATAGAAAGAGCCTGGAGGCTGTTCATTTTCTCATGAAAATTAAGTTGCACTGAATTGGGTCAATGGGGCATGAGACACTGGGCGTTTCGGGGGAAGAGGTGTCCTTCCCGGGTCGCGGCCGCCTTGCTCTCCGCCCGAGGGATGCAACCCCACGGGAGGGTGGCGGCCAGGGCAGACGAAGAGAGGCGGGCGGGCGGTCTGCTCCTCCAGCGATCCGCCTTTCCTCTTGTTGCCGACACTCCCTGGCTGCATTGTCCGGCTGCCTGCCTGGGACAGTGTGGTCAGCAACCAACGCGGTTTCCTCGAGTCTCAAAAGGTTGTGTGGATCAACTGGGACGGAGCCCGATCCAATGAGGTCCCTTCCTTGTGGCCGTGTTCGGGCTCCTCCGAATCCCCGTGCCTGGCAAGGACCGGGACTGGACCTCGGTGACCCCGTCTGTCTCCCCGCCTTCAGCCTTTAGGGTCTCAGCCACACGGCCCTGGACGGACTGGTCTGCCCCGAACACTTCTTGGAGCAAGTCCCCTGACCCGCCTCTTCCGTCCGAGCATCCACTTCTCAAGGGTCGAGCCCTTGTCTCGCCCCGAAATGCCAGCTGAACGTCCTAAGTGCCGACGAGGCATTTATTCCCGTTCGCTCACTTGGACACACCCACACGGATGGTGCTGACAGGGCCTCTGGCTGCCAAGCCCCGGACACAGGAAAATCCGAGACAGAAGGCGGGAGTTGTGCAGGGCGGGGCCTCTCCGAGGGCTGGCTTTCCTGCGACTGTCGTGGCAAAGTCTGCAGGTTAGGAGCACAAACTTAAAGCATCTGGGGCCTCCTGACAGTCTCGACGTCTCCGCAGGTTTACAAACGTCCATAATGAGCACTTAAAAAGCTCTTTCTGGGCTGGCTGCCCCGGTCGCTCAGTCGGTTAAGTGTCTGTCTTCGGCTCAGGTCATGATCCCAGGTCCTGGGATCGAGCCCTGTGTTCGGCTCCCTGCTCAGCGGGAAGCCCGCTTCTCCCTCTGCCTGCCACTCCCCCTGCTTGTGCTCTCCGTCAAATAAATAAAATCTTCAAAATAAATACATAAAAAGCGTTCTTTCATGAAACAAGAGTGAAATTTGACAGGAGCAATTTAAACAGTCCTACCTAGCAAATCAGAAGTTGAGACTCTCATGTTGATCTTGTTTCTTTGGGAAGACCCCTGCGGCTGGGAAGCGCCGAGCTAAAGTGACGCCCCGCGTGACACCCCACCAGGGTTACCCCTGCACGCCCCGTGTGACAGCCTGACCGTCCACCACAAAGGCTCCGGAAGTGAACGTGTGATGCCATCCTGTTTGTGCTGTGAGCCAAGGCTTTATTTTTTAGAACTCACCTGCAGTTCTATCCCTTCGGGAAACAAGGAATCCTGAATGGTGAGAAAGTGTTAATTAACCGCTCAGTTTAGATGCTGCAATCACATCACCCACCTTTCTCCAACAGGAGTTCATTCAAAAGAAGTGCATTTTCACCGATTTGCAGGCAGAGGTGACCCTGTCCGCCACCGTGTGACACAGTTACAATGATTTTATCCACTATATACCCGTGCACACTGTCAGCTTCTGTGTTAGGCCCCCTGTGTCCCAAGAGCAAGCCAAGCACAGGCCTCAGTCAACTGGCGAGTTTTGGGGAGCCCTCCGTAAGAGCGGAGCTCACAGGCTGTCCTCACTCTCCGTTTGGTTTCGGTCTGAAGACTCAGCATATGATATTCAGGACAAGAAACCTTTTAGTGATATTCCCTGGGCCTGAGCTCATTACAAATCGCAAAGATTTCAGGTGGCTCTTTCCCTTTGCATGGAGATCTCCATGGGCCTGGGGTGTGGGAGGCCGGCCCGCCACACCGTAGACCGCCCGCGCCTCTGTGCTGGGCGGCCCCCCACCCACCGCGCGCCCGAGCCGGCGGTCGGACCCTCTGTCCTCCTACCGCAGGCCCGTCGCGGGTGCGGAGGGAGGGGTGGTGCGGGGTTCCTGGTTTACTCTGTAAGCTCGTCTTTCTTCCATCAATGTCAGTGGTGATGTTTAAAGGCACTTTTGGAGGCGCCTGGGTGGTGCTGTCGGTTAAGCGACCGACTGTGGGTTTCGGCTCAGGTTGTGATCTCAGGGTCATGAGATCGAGCCCTGCATCTGGCGCCGTGCTGGGCAGAAGTCTGCTTGAGATCCTCTCTCTCCCTCTGCCTCTGCCCCTCCTCCCTGCTCGCTCTAAATAAATCTTAAAAAAAAAAAAAGGCACTTTTGGTGGACTTTCGTGTACATTTTAATAGGAACTTTCACAGGAAAAGGGGACTCTAATCTTAAGAAATACAAAATAAAATGTTTGCCAATTCCCTCCCTTCAGATATGGTGGAAATTACCCAACAATCTCAACTTTGACCAAACTTGGGGAGAAAAACTGAAGTATCGGTACTGACGCTTGGGAGGATGGAGATAAGACTTCCTAGCTCACCAACTCAGAACTGCCACCAATTCATGCTCCAGCATCTGCCTGTCACCACACATATGAACTCTGTTTCGAGACCAACACAACTCATGTTCCATTATTAGAATCAC